ACGGATGGGTAATGTGTAGCCATAACATACTAAGGACGGGCAGCGGATTGGTGATGAGATGAGCTCTATGGGTAGAGGGCACATTGGATTGCGAAATCTTAACCGTGGAGGGCTCTAACACACTTCTCCGCCCTTTGTTACCGATCTGTGATCTGTTGCATGACGTGGCTTTTCACAATGACACGATACGAGCCTATCGCAGGCAAAAAATGAACTATATGGAAAATGCGCACGTGAATACCGAGGCCAGTATCTTTGTGCTGCTTTTCGTGATTATAAGGGAGTAAATAAAATGTTTTTTGCAGACTAACGAATATTAAGCATTTCACCATAGGTCATAACATGTGATGCGACTCAAAATGCACCATGCTTTATGCACATGCACATGCCACATGCTTGCCACATTCACACCATGCACATGCACCATGCATTTAACAAGTCACTGCCTAACTTTGATCTAACTTCAATATGATTTGGTCTGCCTTAAAATCTGACTTGACATGGGCATGACCTGACTTGATCTTGAAATGACCTGACCATGATCTGCCCCAATTTCGCCTTAATCCGACTTCACATAAACTTGGTCTGACCATAATCTGACCTGTCCTTGACCTACCTAGGCATTGGTTCATCGCCGGTGCGCACATCACAATATATTGCTGAAGTCAAAATATTTTTTTTTCGCTTGGAGTCGGTTTTAAAGATGCACGACCCTCACTGCGGTAGCTAGAGGGTAGCAAAGTTCGTATCATTCTGGAGGTGGATTTCAGAATTCGCGTGACAACGGACACCACTAGTCCCGTTCAGCGAGGTGCATCAGTGTGCAGCAATCTCGCGTTTGAAAATGATCCAGCCTGTGTGACAGTACGGAAGTGACCTAGTTCTAAGTTTTCTTACAGGTCTACGCTGAACCTTTTGAATGAACGAATTTCTGGGATCAAAGCTCACGCTAAGCAGCGCTCGTCGCATGAGTCCTGACCCCTTACAATCCGATCGCGCAATGCCAGGCAAGGGCAGAATTTGGTGACGAAAGTTCAACGCGCCGCAATGCTCGGCACGGCCCACCGTGCCCTCTGACGTCAGCTGACCCTTAGCGCGGCCACTGCCACCGGCCGCAGGTCATAACTGTCAAGGGCAAATAGCGAGCGCCGAAAGTGACTTAAACCCACCCCGCCACTGTTGGGGTGATCGGAAGGCACGTGCTCTAACCAACTGAGCTATCGAAGCGGATGAATGGCTTTTCGGACTTCTGCGATCCGACACTTTGACATTGAGTTAGCAGTGGGCTGTAATGAAACCCGCAGGCGCCCGCCGTCGACGAGATGTCCCGGCGCGATGCCTCCTGATGCCCACAGTTTGATAGTTATCGAACTGTGGGAGAACGGCGGTGCTGCGCCAAAAAAGCTGGGCCTGCCAGACGCACCATAAACGCTGCGTTCAATGTGCATACGTCGGATAACACGTATCAGTGCTCTTTCACTGGGTTTCTGACTGATGCAACCGGAAAGCCACAAGTGATGTGCGATGCGCGGTGCACGGCAAGCGATCAAATATTGCGCCAGAGCTATCGGGTTTTCGGGAAAGGCTAAGATAAAGCTGAAACGAACACTCATTCTTAGTGCCGGTATCTGCAGCCTGCAATTTAGTTGGCACATTGTTTGCGTTGATATCGTAGGTTGTGCAAGATAAGGGACATGCGTTACCATGGGCTAAAGTGTTTTGCTGTGGATCGTATTGTTTGCCCATCTGAAATGTAAGGCGAAGTGTAAACTGCGTCTTGAAGTGCGGAAGAAACAGCGCTTTTTCATACTGTCTGTAAAACGGCGATGAGAGATAGATATGGGCCACAGGATACTTTCTGCATGACCATCCCGCGTGGAGCGAAGTGACCGGTGATGATCAAGATGGGTTCGGCTCTCCAGACATCATGCTTATATCGCGGGTGCCAAATGAAACTTCACATCCCAACATAAAAAATCCAGGTGTTCGTTCGTACAGGCACGCAGCCACAAGCCACGTTCAGGGCACAGGGATACACCAACTTTCTAGGTCCTCCTCAGTGTTGAAGGCTGATGCAACCATAGGGTTACTGAATCGTCTCCATTTCCGAGTGGACAGTGCTAGACTCACATGTTGTAGTTTTTAAGGCACTGGTGCGGGTTCGTTATCAAATGAAAACACTTGACTGATCCCAGGAAAATGTCAAATCGGCACTAAACGGCCGGGTGTTAACGCTGCACCATAAGTTAGTGCTCGCCCTAATCGACTTTTTTCATAACGCGGACTAAGGGATGCGGGATGAGGGGCGATGATGATGGCGATGAGTGCGGGCGACCACCCCTCATGATCCCTGACGTTTCCAAACTGGGAAAGGTGTAGCCTAGCGGACAAAAACGGATTGACTGTTCTCATCGGAACACCTTGCAAGTGGCAATTAATTTTACATTGCTAGGTTAAAATTTATTAAAACAAGCCGGGTGAAAGGTAACCCATCTAAAAATCAAACTTTTCGGCCATGCATGGTGACATGTACGAGACCGTTTCCGGTTTCTGAGTTACTACCGGCTTTTTAAGAACTGTTCAACGGCGCTCCAACGCGCGCAGTCCGCGAATCGTCGGTTACCAGCCTCCGTTTCAGGAGATGCGAGAGCCAAAGCTGCAACGGCAGTGCTAGACATCGTTCTTCGCAGTAAATGGCATTGAATGACCAACATGTGTCATTGCCGCATCATTATGTTCCACAGTGGTAGCTGCGGCAGCCATGCGGTTCACACGGAGCAAGAATCAGCATACTAGCCACAGAAGCATGTATGCAAATGAAATAATTCATATTATATTATAAATATAAACAAGCTATATAATATTGACTTTAAATACAAATGAAATGATACATGCGTTCATGACATACGTCGGGAACACAATGCTATTACATCCATCACTGATGCTTTGCTGGCCCCCACAGCGGTGTACATCACCACCACATCCCATTATGCCGATGTGACTTTCCGGACCAACTGGCTCCAGTCCCAGGCCTAGCAGGCGTGATCGACGTGAGGCACGCGAGCTCACCTCGCACGTGGTGTCACACGATGTGACTCACCCGAGGTCTCATCGCACGCAGTGTCACATGACGTAAGACACCTGAGCTCTCATCGCACGCATTGTCACACGACGTAAGACACCCGAGCTCTCATCGCACGCAGCGTCACATGACGTTAGACACCCGAGCTCTCATCGCACGCAGTGTCACATGACGTAAGACACCCAAGCTCTCATTGCACGCAGTGTCACATGACGTTAGACACCCGAGCTCTCATCGCACGCAGTGTCGCATGACGTAAGACACCCGAGCTCTCATTGCACGCAGTGTCACATGACGTAAGACATCCGAGCTCTCATCGCACGCAGTGTCAAACGACGTGATACACCCAAGCTTATATATATATATATATATATATATATATATATATATATATATATATATATATATATAAACAATTTATATCATATTAATTTTTATGTGCAGCTGAAATAATGCATGCGTTCATGGCATAAATCGGGAGCACACACAGTGTCACACATCGTAAAGCGTAAGGTTTTACGCTCGAAAAGCGAACCCCAAACTTCTGTAGAATTTCGCAATGCATGACAATTCACGCTTCATGTCTGCTGCTGTATTGTTGTATGACGGATTCTCTTCCCCATCATAATGCTGTTTTGTATGCGTTCTGCACTGCGCAGTGTTTGCACTGTTTGCGATGGTTCTTAACCTCGTCTCTGTCCAATCTGCACCCTCGAAACCCACCAATAACCCTGCATTACGGGCGATTCAATGTCGGTTTGAGTTGAACGCAACAATAAGCCTTCTGTGGTAGCAGGCTGGTGGCAATCTGCAGCCCCATCACACATTTCGAATATAACATGGTGGTCATTCCAAACTTCAACTAAAGTTAGCACTCCACCGGTGGTCCTGTACAAAAATCACAGTTCGAGAGCTTTAGCGTTCCATACAGCCTTTCCGCAACATTTTTAATGCAACCGGTGCCGCAGTGGGCGTATTTCCAATTAAGGTTGGTGAGCCTGTTTACCGAAGTGAGGTAAAGGTGACCAAGTACCTGAGAAATTGCTCTTCACTTGCCATTTGGATAAGCGTTAGGGATTACTCTAGGCGGTATGTTCCTACAAACAAGATGTTGACCGGGGTAATGCAAAGTCAGACCTTCGGTCTGACTATTACACCTTAGGTCGGATTCTTACCTTTAAAAAGCTCCTGAAACATGTCTGTTGCAATCCCTGTCATTAATAAATTCGAAATGAGCACCAAAAACCCCCGATAAGCCAAGCTCTCAAGTAAAAAAAGCAGGTTAGTTTCGAACTTGGTCAACCCTTCATACCTGACCCTAGGTCACTGGAATTCGTTGCTATTCTAAATTCAATTGGTTCATTGCCTTATAAACTATCTCAGATATGCATGGCTTCGTCCAACACTCTGTTGTTGCCGCACTAAACGATTCCCTAGAAATGCCATTCGCCGACAACCATGACCTGACTTGGACCTGTCATTGGTCATTGACCTTACACGGTAAATGTACATATTTCAACATCAAAATATTTTCTTTTCAATTTTCTATAGCCCTGCAAAGTTTGGCGTGGCTGTGGCGTCCCGTTCGGAAATCGTTTTGGGGAAACATTCAGGGGGGGGGGGTACTTTGACCCCCACCCGAGCGCATATTGCTGCTTTCCAAGGAAATTAATGCTCAACTGGAAGTATTTATGCTTGTCAGGAAGGAGTGCTAGCATGAATATAACACCAGCCTGCTCATATTGGACGTTTTTGATTTTTGTTATATCCTTACGACACCTACAGACGGCCTAGCATATAAACAGGATTAGTTGGGCACAGGGTAACTCAGTCAACTAACTCAGTGCCGTTTCGTGGAAACAGATGGATTTACTTATGGCAACCGCCCTAACTTTTCGCCGAGTCTCCGCTCCCTCTACCTCTACTTCCCACCTGCATGTGTGTCTTCTATGCAGCCAACCGCTGCTATCACTGTTGCAGTGACCTCCGCTGTGACCTCGCCCGCTGCCGCTGTGCCCTCCGCCGCTGCTGCTGTGCCCTCCGCCGCTGCCGCGCCCGAGACCTCTGCCTGGACGCGGCCGGAAAGCGCGACAGACACCCATACGGCCAGCGCGCACCACAGAACATCGCTCGCCATCGTCCGCCACCGCGTCGCCATCGTCCACCACCGCGTCGCGATCGCCTCTGACGGCGCGCCGCACGCCGAGCGCCGCACGCCGTCCCAGATAGCTCACGCGCCGATTACCACCACTATCGCGCCACCGCGCGCCGCACGCAAGCAGACCCAGGCCACACGCGCGACAGAGCGCGCACGTCACCGGCACCTTGACGAACACAAGGGGAGAGGTGCAGCCGCGGACGTGGGAGATGTCGTCTGCGGCACTGAGTGACTGAACCGCTGCAGCCCCCGAAAACGAAAACAGTCCAATGGCCCAGGCTCTCGCGTGTTTCTATAGTGAACTAGCTTCTGTCCTATGCGCATATGCATACATTTAAACATGTGCTCGGCCCACGTCCGCGTACCCACGTACATTAATACCTGTATTTACTCAGCTCATAACACTGATGCAAGGCGCCCTGGCCGGACCTGCTGCCTTCCCAGCACACGCACTCCAGGAGCCAGAAAATCCGATGCGATCAGATCCGATCTCATCATCCCTTGACCCTCGATCTGCTTCACCGTTTTTCATGGCGTAGACTGTTGGTGATGGGCGATGCGACGCCCCGCCCACGTTTCCGACCTAATAAATTTAGAGGTTGGTAAAAAAACAGCAACAAAAAATAATGGAATGGTCTCAACGAAATCTCGCGTTTGGTATTGGCTTTTACGTTGCTAAGTCAATGGTTGACCCATTGTGCCACGGCAGATGTCAGAATTTCCAGAAATAGCACTTCTTCATTTTTGCGATATTATACCTAGGGACTATGCTTTGTGTCGACACTAAACATAAGGATTCGTGCTCGTGGTTTAATCTGGAGGACAATGGCGTATATCATGAGTGTAGGAACAGGGGGCGGGGGGGGGGGAGGGGCAGAGGGGCCATTGCCCCCGACTTTTTAATGTAGGGGGCAGAAGTGTTAACTGGCCCCTCCCTCCACTTTTCAGATTAATGTTGTTTTGGCTTACTTTTGTACTACATTAAACATACATGGCAATTTACAATAATTCAACGGCCATCTTCCTCAAGATGTGTCATCTTTTTCGTTTGATCATAAGCCATCGCTTAGTGTCACAACCGCAGGGCCAACGCCGCGCAGCCCATGAATACTGCAACACCGGACGTCCGGGATGCTGTTGCTACGACTTGCGAGAGGGTATGTTCAAAACCATATTACGCTGTTGTTTTATTGGTAATCAATTCTGACTGAATCTTAACCATTTTAAGATGAACATGGATTAGCCATGTTGAAACAAATTTAGACCTCCTCTCGTCTACAATCTACGTTCAGGGGTTCTCAGTAATTCTGAAGAGCACAGCAAAAACATAGAACTGGAGTCTATGTGACAATTATCGGAACACTTGCGGCGATTAGGGATGCTGTTGCCTCAATCACGGTTCCTGTGCTGATCCGGGGCCAATTGGCGGGTCAGAACGCCTCCCGTGTCAGGGAGGGGAACAATGTCATGGTATATCCTTCTCATGGCCTCCGGATCGACCAGGAGATCAAGCCCCCTTTCGCCAAAATGACGGCCAGAAGATACTTCGCGATGGGACGGAATGACCGTTAGGAACCCTTTGGCCGGAAACGGCACTGTTCCCCTAGGGCGTTCTACTCAAGGGGGCCCATGCCCGGAATGAAATAAGGGGGTCCTCGGCTAGTTGTTAGTACAGGGGGCCTCATTATTGTTGGAATAAAGTGGGTCGAAATGAGCTTAAAAATGAACAAGGCCATCCCATGTTTGCCTGAGAACGCTCATTTCTTCAGAATGGATTGGTGAAACAAATTGCATCAAAAGGTTTAAACATGCCCGTCCGCAACCTCGAGAACAAGGACATCGATGGCCTGGGATGCAGCTTCCGTAAAACCGAACGACTTCGTCCACTGCAAGTGTCACTATACAGCGGGCACTATATAAATCTGTCTTCTTCGACAGATTAATAGTTACAGAAACACGGAAAGTAGAGATTCCATCTTTACTCTTCCAGTTCAAACACCAGATTCCAGCCCCGCCTCGCGGTACTTTAAGGGCCAATCCGTTCTTATCACCAGTCTAAAAATTGCACAACTGAGATACGTGCGCGGACTGCCTTCTTAATGTAAACTTTGACGTCATGAAGCGTGCAAAGGCACTTTTTCAGAATCGTCATCATTTTCGTCCATCCTTGACAACAGTATTAACTCAGTATTAGGTGCTGGGCCAATGCCGAGCGGCCTACTGCAACTGCAACGCCTGGAATAGAGGTTTGTTTCTTAGATTTTCAAGTGCGCATGCCAAAATGACGTCACGTAACTTGTATTAAAAATCGATTAAGGTTTTTAAAGGAAATTATTTCAGAGGCCTGATCATTTTCGTCCACTGGTGAACCAAGGCTTAATTTAGCCACTGGGCTCGCGCTTCGCGAACTATGGAGACCACAACGCCTGGTGTCGAGGTTTTGCTGATAAGATTTGCAAGCACGCATATTAACAAACCACGTAACGCAAATTGTGTTACTAATCGATTCTGACTGAATGGAGGACATTTCTAAACGTGGCATGGCCATTTTAATACACAATGTTGACCACTCGATCTGCAATCAAATTTTCATCTTTAAATTTTGATCAAACGTATCGATCTTATCGATCATCGTCATGTCCTTTATGTCCGCAGAACCCAGATGAAAAATTCTGACAAAACCTCTGAATTCTTTCGGTTTAGAAAGTCGCCTACGTCGAATGATGGGCAATGAAATGTTCGTCGGGCCAGTAAATACATAAGGCGGGCAGCTTCCCGGAGGTTGTTTTTCTGCAGTGGTGTGGCGTAAGGGAAGATAATTCGGAAAAAAAGATACTGCTGCAGGCGTCCAACATATGTTTCACACGTCATTTAGTAATAACGCTGATCCAGAAATACGCAACAAAACAGCCATACGATCAGTTCACAGTCAGTCATGCATGAGACAGCCGGGCCAGGGCTGTCGCTGGCGGACGGGGACATGGCCCAAATAAGAAACATATGACAAACAGGCCTTCATTATATGACTTGGTTTTCAAAAGAGAATCCCCAGTTTTACGGTTTCATCACATTGATTTTGGCAATTTCAGGCTTCCGAATTTGTATCCGCCCAAAATCCTGCGACAAGTCCTATCTCTTGAAAAGCAGCCAGCGAAAAGAAAACGCATGAAAAATCTATCGCATTGTGAGCCATCGATTCACTTTCGAAATTCTCACCAGCCTATGTCCAGGCCGTATTTTGGCATTTACCCTGTGGATACAGATGCCTCCTCGATGACCTAAAATGTCTATCCACGCATGGGATTTCGCCTCCCCAGGAAAGGCAATGTTGAGATGAACGAATAATCTTGGGAAGCTGGATGACCTTGTTTGCCGAATGACATAGATCACTGGAAAAGACAAGATTGTGCACCATTAAGAAACAGCTCTAGATGCATACCTAGCATAGCAGCCAGCCATTTGAATAAAGGGCGATAACAACCTCAATCTCTAACCTCCCCCCTGGGGGCTTGCTTTCCAGAACAAGTTCCTGTTCTGAAGTACACCCTCATATTAGCCCCCACTCCTTTTGAAACGTTCCTACGCCTATGTCGTATATTATGATAGTTCGAGTATGAATGTATGATTATAGCTATGTTAATGCAACAATGTCGACCCTTATTCGACCCTTATATATGATAGTTGGGGTATGAATGTGTGATTATAGCTATGTTAATGCAACAATGTCGACCCTTATAAATCGCCGCCGTCGGTCCACGGCGTCGTCGGCTGCCACTCGTTACCTGCACCTACAGTAGATCGCCATGCAATGCTCCTCAAAAACCGCTGCTGCTCTGAAATAACAAAAGCTAGGAACACATTTGTGATATCAGATGCGCAAAACTAATGATCTGCCACCTGTCAAGGCAACCATATCGGTTTGTCACACAAGTAAAACGGATTATTGCACGCGCAGGAGTGCACACTGCTTTTGATTTACCAACAGTTTGGAAAAGAAAACAGTCAGGCTACGTATTCTCTCGCTCCTCTCTCTCTCTCTCTCTCTCTCTCTCTCTCTCTCTCTCTCTCTCTCTCTCTCTCTCTCTCTCTCTCTCTCTCTCTCTCTCTCTCTCTCTCTCTCTCTCTCTCTCTCTTCTCTCTGTCTTGTCTCTGCCCTATCTCCCTCTCTGTCTCCATCTCTGTCTCTCTGTCTCAATCTCGTCTGTCTCGTCCCTGTCTCCGTCTCTCTCTCTCTCTCTCTCTCTCTCTCTCTCTCTCTCTCTCTTCTTCTCTCTCTCTCTCTCCTCTCTCTCTCTCCCTCACTCCCTCACACCACACACACACACACACACCACACACACACACACACACACAACACACACACACACACACACACACAACACACACACACACACACACACACACACAACCACACACCACGTTCTTACACCGCAAGATTGTACTTTCCGGTTAGCCCAGCCGTAGAGCGCTGGTCTCGTCATCAGAAGACCCCGCTTTGAAACACGGCAGCTCCAGGAAATCATTTGGGTTGTGGCATGTACTTGGGTGGCGTATTGTCGTCATGACTGGTGTGCGATCACGTACATGGCACACTGGGCCGAACGCCATTCAGTTCTCTCAGGGCTCGATAGCGCTTGGCGACGTCCGCACTATTAACTGGCCGGAACGTTGTGTACATGCTAACAAATGAAGATGACATTCCGAACGATCATTGCACAAGTTACGCCACGTTGCAAGAATACACGTTCAGCCTCCTTTGC